ACATAAACTGAGCTGGCAATGCCTTCCCAAGTGACCAGTTCAAACAATTCACCAAACCAGCTATTGAATTCCACAGCGAGGGCTCTGGATGCAACATCTGCTTTTGCCTAGGCTCTGTCGGTCACAGCTTTCTGATCTTCCAGCACTTGCTTGGGAACAGGCTTTGGATGAGCTGGAACTACTTCAGGCTGATTAAATGAGTTTTTTTTTTTTTTTTTTTTTTCTCCCTCCCCCTCTCCGCTGTGTTGCACGCCATCAGGGAGGCACCACATGGGTTTGCTGCTCTTAGACACTGACAACTGAGGAAATTAAATTCTGAGGCGGAATCAGTTAAAAGCCTGACTAAATCAGTGTTGTTTTTCTATGGCAACTGAAACAACATAATTATTTAAAGGATAAATTTTTATTGCTAATGAATTTTTTTCAAGACAATAAGGGGTTTTTTGCATTTTTTTTTTAATACCAGAACCCTCTTAAATACATTTTGGGATTTTTAATTTTTTTTTAAGAGAGTCCAAGCAATTGAGCTCAGTAGGAGACTGTTAGATAAAAGCAGTGATAGACTGTAATTCCAGCTTTTTATAAAGTAATATGGCTTTCAGGTGCTTTGCACCATTATTATTACTGTTTTGTGCAAGAAGAATTATGTATTTGTGTGGTTATTCAGACTTTAAAAAGCTTATCGTATTTGTCCAATCCATAGTGACAAGTCTGGTTTTAAAAACTTAAGACAATGGATCGTTTGCTTACACTGTTTCAACAACTCTTTTGACTACACCAAACAAAATCTTGCATTTTTGTTGAGGTAAACTAATTAAAGGAAAACCATAAGGATGGTCTGACCTCACAGATGCTTATGTGCACGATCTGGTTTTTTCACTCTCTCCTTCAATGTGTCTACCTGTGAGAGAAGCACGGGCAAAAGATGTTACAGAATTGGGTCTTACTGTACAAACTTACTAGAAAAAGAAAAAGGATCCCCTGGAAGTACAGGAAAACCTATGGACATGCATAACTGTAATGTTTGCTGCTTCTCCCTGCTATTCTGTGTATTTTCCCTTTATATATCATATTGCATATTAAGTTTTATAGAGCACTGATTGTTGTTTTATAAAAGCAAGCTCCTTGTTCTCACTAAAAGTAGTGATATCCTTAGTAGATGTCCTACAGTCTTTTCTTTGGGAAGACAAAATCCTATTTGGGAGGAAATCACCCCCTCTTAAAAGGGCTTACGAGGGGGGCGATTATAATGGCAGAAATTGTTGGTATCAGTGTTGAGAATTGTATATTTTTCTCATCCTAGGAGTGCATACATGTATTTACAATAGGGGTTTCTGTTACATTTGCTTAAAAAAAACCCCACTGAGCTAAAAAAGTTTGAAAGGAACAGCTTGAGGAATTTTTTCCATCAAGATACAATCAAGGGCAGGAAATCGTAGAAGCAGAGTTGCGGTTTTGCCTCCATTTTTTTATTAGTTAATTAAACTATAACAACTCTTAACTTCATTTTAGGTTAACTGTTCCTAGAGTTCAGGAATATTTTAAGAGGTCAATAATGCTTTCTTTGGCTTTCGCTCATTTGGTGTGGGATGAGGAGCCGCAGTCAGCGGGGCAGAGTTTTCCAGATGTGCCGCAGAGCCCGTGTGCGTGCGCTCATGTCCACAGTTGTTGACGGTGGGAAACCATCCATCTTTCCTCATCTGCGCACCACCCCGTACGGATGGAAACCACAGGAAAGAGACGTGGATAGCCTGACAGCTGTAAGCAAACTTACAGGATCTGATTAAAGCTCAGGAGCCCCCAGTACTTGCAGCTACCAGTCGACATGCGTTTTTACTCTGGGATGGAGAGGTGCCTAGTCTTGAGCCTGAGAGAGCTGGGGGAGGGGGGATCCGAAGGGAAAAAACTGGAGACAATAGGTGCGTATGGGTTTTGCCAGAAGCAAAAAGTCCCCAAAGACCCCATTGTACACTGCAGTGTGGGTTTTCCCTGTGAAGTGGGGACATTTCTTTTAAAGCGCCTTGAGGCATCTGTCTGCGTTGTCTTCTGGGTGGGTAGAGCTGCTCAGAGGCGTGCACTGAAAGGGCATCTGAGGGGAGCAAATGGAGCCGTGCAAGTGTCACAGAACTGTCTTTAATAACGGGAGCCAGTCCAGCACTCGGAGCCAAATCGCCTTTCAGCAGAAAGGATAAAATTGAGCAGAGCTGGAAAAGGGAAAGAAGAAAGGGGAGGGGAAACACAGCACCACCTCCTGCTGACATCCCAGAAGTTTCCCTCAGCTTTCCCTCTCTCTCCCTCTGTGCATATATTTTCCTTTTAATCAGCTGGGGCTCTTCCCTCCCCTGCTTTTTTTTTTTTTATTTTACTGTATTTTTATAGTTGGAATTCTGCTTTCCTAATTTCTCTTGTTTCACATTTAACTTCTTCAGAGAATTTCATTAATAGTTATTGCAATTAAAAATAATAAATAAACTCAGCACCAGCTGCTCGAATGGCTGTTGTAGCATATCTGGAACATAATGCGGTCTGTTCAGGGCAGCCACACAATGCAATTTATCCCCACACCTGAGGGAATGAATTTCACAACTATAATTGCTACAATATAATTCTTATTAATGTTGTGCTATAATTCCTATTAATTCCAAAGGGCTAGTAAATGCATTAGGACTTGTCAACATATTATTTTACACTGTTTATGATCTGTAGAATTACGCTCTTCAGTATTGTATTGCATAAAGAAAAGCCTTAAAATTAGCTTTAATTGCGGGGGGGGAGAAAGGGGAATCCACATTTTCTGTTCAGGCACTGGGAAAGAAGGAAGGATCCTGGTGTTTGAGGAGTAATGAAACTGCATTTTAAAATCAGTCCTTTGAACTTTCTGTGCCACGCAGTTAGCAGTTTATGAAGATATATTAATAATGCCTGTCCTGGTTATTAGAAAAAGAACCACTGGTGTCTTTATGAAGGAATAAATAACTATAAGAAAGATAGGTTTATAAAATTAAAAATAACTATCTTCCAGCAAAGACAAAAGTGGGGAAATTACAAGTCACTGTAACTGATGTAATAAATGCAGAATGTGTTATCTTGCTGTGCTCTTATTTATTCTTGTTTTATCTCACTGCCCTGCTTTTCTAGGTAGTGAATATGATGAGGAGGAAGTAGACTATGAAGAATCAGACAGTGATGAGTCCTGGACCACAGAAAGCGCTATCAGCTCTGAAGCTATCCTTAGTTCAATGTGCATGAATGGAGGGGATGAGAAACCTTTTGCCTGTCCTGTTCCTGGATGTAAAAAAAGATATAAGGTAAGCAGTCGGGCAGGTCTGCCTTATTTCCTGCCGATGTAACGAGGGGAGAAAAAGCCTCTAAAATCAATTTGTACCTTTCTCGTTTATAATAGACTTTTCACGTTTATTTTTGTGGTGTTTTAGCAGAGTGCATATTTTATGTACTGTTTTCCTCTCAGGCACAGCCAAGTTATCAGTGTTACAAAGGATGTAGCCTTTTGGGTCCCTTTCTGTCAAGAGAGATTACATAGAGCCACTCTTTCGCTTTACACATTTTAACGAGCTTTCTATTATTTAGACAAATTAACTACAGAATGCAGGAGGTACTACTAGCAAAAGAATCTCTTGGGTCCCTTTCAGAGACAGTAAATAAAAAGCTTCTGCCAGAATGAATTCTTTCTGCTTAGCTGCTAGAGATACTGCCTCTCCTTGAGTGAGATTGTGTCCAGGGTGCTTGTCCAGGGAAAGGTGATGTGCCAAAGGTGGTGGTTAATAGTTTCCAAGTCAGAGCTCACCTCAAGAAGGCAGAGCCTTGGAGAAATTTTGGAATCATTCCCTTCTGGGTCAGAGTCCCTGTGACCTGTCTGCACAGCCGTCAGTGTGTCTGGCCCCACGTGCAGGGCTCGTGTCCTTCTGCGTGACATGCTGGGAAATAATTTCCCCCTTGCTCCTCTTTTTAATTATTCTCCATCGTGAGAAATTTTTGTCTGTTTATGAGAGTGAAGCGTCTTTGACTTTGAACCTTGAGCTGGCTGGTGTAGAACGTGTCGAGATGTTGTGAGGACGGGGGGATTGCTTCATGTGAGCCAGTGCAGAGACAGATGAAATTGTATTGAGCAGCTTGGACTTCACTGTGGTATTCTATAGTCATTGATATTTGGGAACAGAAGTAGCATGTTGGCACAGTTCCTCTAAATCACAGGTTAATCCAAAAAATGAAGTTTTTGCATTGAAGGACTGGAAAATTCAACCCCTGACCTCTATCCTAGAAAAAGCGGTGATGGTTGGGTTGGTTTTATGCTGGTTTTATTTTACGGCTTCTCCTTTAAACAACTGAAAAGTAGGGACTTAAAAGCAAATAGAAATATGAAAGAAAAATATAGGAAGACCAGTAACAGTTGAGATAAAGCAGTTGTGACAAGAATGACTAAACTGGGCATGAAGCTGTGTAGAGGATGAAAACGTGTTTGAGTGATGCTGCAGCTGCTCTGGGCTGTGGCTCCTGCAGCAGCACCTCACAAGGCTCAGGGGGCAGCTCCTGCAGCAGCACCTCACAAGGCTCAGGTTCCCATCCAGAACAGTCACTACCAACAGCACACACTGCAAATGTGAGCAAGAAGGCAGCGAGCTCATCTCTTAGTCACATACAAGTCTTTTTTGCAGAGAGTAGCCCGAACTATGTAATGGTTATTCTCCTCTTCAGTTACAGGAAAAACTGACCAGCACCTCCAGGGCAGAGGGAAAGATGTTTTCAGACTCTTTGCAAGTATTACTTTGCGTATACACTCACCTTAGTCAAGATTCATACTTCTGTTGCGTGTGGTAGAAGCTGTGCCAGATGAAGGGCATGGTATAAAAGCTAAATCCCTAGCTCAGGAAGCAAACAAGCCATGGTGATTGTTAGAAGTCCCTGTGCCCACAGGGCATCTGTGCATTGCAGAAAACATTCCCTTAATGGCAAAGGCTGGAAGGAGAACCCTGTAATTTGCTATATCCTGTCTGTTCTCTGTTTGACTGCCGGCCCTCAGTCTTTTTATTGCCCAAACAAGTGAGCTGGTTTTGCCTGCTTCTGCTATCTCACTACCTTCATCTCGAATGCATGAGGACTGTCTGAGGGATATCTTGTACACCATTAATGTTGGGACAGTCGGACAGGGAACAAATTAACAGCCCTTAGAGAGGCTGACAGGCAGAGAGCAGCAGCAAAGAAAAAGTACCGTATTTTCCTACGAGACTAACCTCTGTTTAGTCCTGATAGGAAAACACGTTTCCTTAAACTCTGCCTCACCTCATTTCTCTTTTCTCTGGGCTCTGTTTCCTCCCTTTTTTCTTTTCAGCCTAAATTTTTTTCTTTTTATCTTTGTTTCCTTCCTTTTAGCTTTGTGTCAGCTGCGTTTCTTGTTTCCTCTTCATCTTCCTTCTGCTTAACCCCCTCCTCTGATGAATTATTTGCAGAGTCTGGGTAGGGAGTCCTGTGATCAAAGCACTGGGATTTTCTGGTGGGTACTGGATAATCACAGTCAGGGCTGTAAAACAATTATAGTGCTCCAAACAGGAACACGGACATGCACATACAGTAATTGCCAGGCTCACTTTACGGCTGAGAAAGGATGCATTCCTTTAGGGAGCGAGGAGGAAAGGAGGATATATACACAGTTTGCTTTTGTCTGGCTTTAGGTGACGTGCGTTCGAGAAGCAGAAGTGTTATTTTTAGGTACGTTATTTGTGTTACAGTGCTGCTTAAAGGACTCAGTAGGGACGGGGCTTCTTTTTGCAAACAATGCACAAGGATAAAAGATGGCCTCTGCACTGAAAAGTCATTATGGAAAGGTAAATAAGACAAGAATGAGTACAACAAATACTGCCAAGGAATGGGCTGGGGCGGACAATGGAAACTGTAATGAGAACATGTTTATACACGAGCACAGATGGGTATCAGAAGACCCCACTGGCCTCCTGCCCAGCTGCTATCTCTTGGCGGTTCCCCAGTACAAGTGAGTCATAAACACTGAGGTGCCCTGTCCAGGAGGGTACTGAGTGGTTAACGTGCTCTGCAAAATGCCACCTGTAAGAGCTGAAGTGTGGATTTATGAAGGTGGTAATTAGTTTCCCTTTCACTCCACACCACCTGTGTGTGCCAGTTACTTGGTCTCTAGCTCGAGAGAAGGGCGTTCAAAATGTGTATGTGATACAGGTAAAGTTATTCAGGCAAATTCCAAAGAGCCAATGGCTTTTGATACATAACAGGTAGATACAAAAAAAAACCACAAATAATGTGTATATACTATTACAGAGAAAACCTTACAGTATTTGTCGTAATTTTTCTAGTTTGTGCAAATACAGTAATAAAAGAATACTAGATTTCTGGGCATATGAAATGTAGCGTATACGCATGACTGCTGTGTGGCCTTGGGCAAGAGGAGAAGTGGTACCATCCAAGAGTGCTGAGGCTTTGGGACCAGCAGGGAATGGGACACGGGTCCCAGGTTGGTCGGGTGGGCAGCCCCCCAGGAAGGCTGATCAAAGAGCAGAGAGTCTTGGCAGGGCTTAGAGGGGGAGAACATTGAAGTGAGAGAGGGAAAGAAAGGGATTTATTTGAAAGAAAGGAGCAAGGCAGAGCTTGCATTTGAGCGAGGAGAAACTGGACCCACAAAGAAAACTTCAGGAGTAGCAGCCAGGAGATGAAAATCACATATGAATGTCCAAGCCTGAGAGAAGAGATCCTCCAAACCATCCCTGATGCCTGTGTTCCTGCCTGAAGGGGGTGGTGAGCTCTCACACCTGCAGTGTGGTGGCCTCAGGAGTGCTGCCGTGCGAGGGCCCTGCCCTTGTGTCTGTGCAAACCAGGCAGTGCTGGTCTGAACTTCTCTATCTCCTCCTCATCTGGGCCCAGGTTAATAATTGTTTCCTCCTGTTTAAGTTTTTGAGAGCGCCCTTCTGTACTGCCATCTTCTTCCTCAATCATTCCTGAGAGTAAATAATGAGCAACCTGAGTAACCAGAGCAATAAAAGTGATGTATGAGTTTGGCAGTGGGTTTTGCCCATATCTCAACAAACTCAGCCCGGCCGTACAACCACGTGTTTACATTGCAGCAGGGGGAAGAGTGCTGAGGGGTCGGCTGTAATTCTAACAACAGTTTGCTTTTAGGCAGGAGGCGAGGTCACATTTTGTGTTTCTGCTCCTCATACTCCGCAGGGTTTACTATTTTTCAAACCTTCCATGGCCCAATTTGCTGCCCGTAGCCTTCTGGTTTAGCATTTCCTTCAATTTTTCTGCCTCAAAGTACCTTCCCCCCTTCGTTAAAGCACATGGTGCACTCCAGGCTGAGTGGGTCGTTAAAATAATCTGGATCAGGAGGGGCATGGGATGGTGAGGATAGTTGTGATTGCAGATCTATGGCATCTGTAGTAATTGATACGGGTTTAAAAGTATCTTAAAGTGAATTCTTAGAACAATTAAAAGTCTAATAGGTTTCTGTAGTTTCCTAGAGATATATATATAGGGTTTGGGGGTGGCTTGGTTTTTAGAATTTCACTGCAGTAGCAAAAGTTTAGCAGGTCACCCCCAGATTTTCTCTTCTTTGAAGGCACAGATCCTTAGTGGAACTCGGGTGTTGGCAGATGCCTTATGACAGTCCTTGTGTCATCCAGTGACATTCCTGCCCCCCTCATCCCTGTGGTCCTGTAGGTGCTGGAGGCTGTAACGATGTGCAAAACCATCTAAAAGCTGCCTCAGGATCTCAGAGAACTTGCAGGGAGTTCACTTGCCTGCTCTTGAGGACGGTCTGTAGCTCTGGTGGGCTCTTGTCTGTCTTGGTGGCAGAGCATTCTGCCTCCTCTGAATGGTCCTCACCCAGAAGCAACCTGCACTAAAGGCTCATGTTTGTGCATCTGCTGTGGATTGAGACGGAGGGCTCTCCTCTCCCTCATCCCAGCTGACAGCTCTGCCGGAGCTGGTGGGGATTTTTAAGGGTGTAAAGGACAATTTTAGGGGTGGGTTTGCAACTTCAAGTTGAGGATTCAGTGCCTGGATGCAGGCAGACACCACCTCTGGCACAGCCTGCACCGGGCATCGCGAGTTGTGAAACCAGAGAAGTGGTTTTGCTTAAAGATTAAAAATACCTCATTGCTGTGGCACAGATGAGGTGTTATGAATAAGGACCAGCATTTCAGGTTGTAAGATGAGAGCACCGTCGCTGGCTGGATGTAAGAATAAGCTGGATGAGGACGGAGGGGAGAAGGGGAAGCGTCGGCAGGGGGTGGGACTGAAGGTGTTAACCTCACCCCTTTCTGGGCTGGGCTCTCTGATGGGCATAGAGCCTTCTGAAGTTTTGGGAGTTGTAGATCTGGTCTGTCTCTGAAGGCTTGCTTTTTTTTTTTTACTTTTGTTTTTTTAAACAAATTGTTGAACTTGTCTAATTGCTGCGAGTTCCAAGCTGGAGCTTCCACTTAACTGGAAGCTGCATCTTGATAATCGGAACATAAGGGCCAAGGGGACATTTTATTCTGTGTAACACCAGGCAGCGCTTCAGCAAAGACAGAATCCCTAAAACTTCATTTAGTAGATTAATTAATATCCAGGCTGTTAATTGATTTTAGCTCAAAACTATTAAAATACCTTTTTTTAAAAGCCCTGAGATAAGTATCTGGAAACCTCAGAGAGCGCACAGTGCAGACTGGGAGCTGTATCTTTTGGTCACAAATTGTCTTGGCATCTTCTTTGACTTCCTCCCAGGAGAAGCTCTAACGAGAGTTTGCCTTTCCTTAGTTATCCCCAAATCCGAGCTCTTTTAGTGGAAGCAGGTAAGAGAGACTCCGGTAAGAAGAATTCTATATAGAGCAGTGTTGGGACCACAACAGCTTCCTCCATTTTTGCCAGAAAGATGTGAAAAGGAGGACAGGGGTAGGACTTTGATAAATGTTTAGTAAAGGAGCTTGATTGATCTACCAAAAGCGTTGCTGGTTTCCTGACCGTGCCAGTGTGACGGCGCGTGCTGGGGCTGCCTTTTGCTCTTCTCTCCAAACTGGGGCAGATCAATTCTCCACTTTTCGAGAAGTGTAGAATGTCCCCAAACAATAGCTGTTTTGGAGATGGCTTCTCTGGGTTATTTTCTCAGTGCCCTGTGTAACTCTTTGAGTTGAGTGTTCCCCGCAGTTAATTCTTTGGAGACAATGTGTAAACTATCAGAATCTGCTGGTGCCTAAAGACATATCTAGAAACAATGACACAGAACGGAACCAACACACCACGGGGGGAGCTTCAGCTTTTTGAAGAAGTGTGAGTGGAGTCCTCGTGCCAATTCTTTGTTTGCTCGGAAATGAACCTCTGCATAAAATTTGTCAGTGCTGTCCCAAAAAAATGTCAGGAAGCGAAGAACGTCCGTGTGTGAGCCCATTAAATGGCATTTTTTGGAAAGTGCCGTGTGGTGGGAGATAAAAATGGGGATTACCTAGAAGTAGGTAAGTTTTGTAGGTCAGAACCGCACGGATTATTCTCCTTGTCCCACCTCCTGTCTTGAAAGCACAACAGGTGCCCAACACCTGGCGGGAGCTCCAGCAATTTGTGTGATTTTGCTCATAACTCATCGATTTTCCTGTTTGACCTGGCAGCTGAGGTGTCCTGAGCCCGCTCCCCCGCTAACCCTGTGCCTCTCTCCCTCCCAGAATGTGAATGGCATCAAGTACCACGCCAAGAACGGGCACAGAACGCAGATCCGCGTGCGCAAACCCTTCAAGTGTCGCTGCGGGAAGAGTTACAAGACAGCTCAGGGCCTGCGGCACCACACAATCAACTTCCACCCCCCCGTCTCTGCTGAGATCATCAGGAAGATGCAGCAATAACGTGCTGGTCACAAACGTGCCAAGAAATCCTCACCAGCAGTTGCTGATTTTGAGAACAGCCACCTTTTTTTCAGGGGAAGCATTCAGCAACCCTTTAAAAACAAAACAAAACAACAAAAAAAAAATTAAATGCATGCTTTAGAAATTTCTGTAATTTTGGAATGATGTATCTTTGTAGAGTTAATGATTTTGTACATTTGCACATGTAATCATCATACCCATTTTCATTACTTTGAGATAAGGTGCTATAAAAGCTATAGGTTCTTCAGAACATTTTTCTCCAAAAAAAAGAAATATTTGGGGGTGGGAGGGGACGGGAGGGGACCGGGAGGGAAGTGGCATATTTAGTTGTACTGAAGTGTTGCCCAGGAGGAAGGGAGGGAGGAGAGCTTGGCACTGGCATCCTTTCACGATTGTAATGTGACGAAGACTTTTCAATGCATCTGTCTGTGTGTGAGTGTGTGTGTGTGTATGTGTGTGTGTACACGTGTGTGTGTGTGTACACGTGTGTGTGTGTGTGTACACACGTGTGTGTGAGTGTGTGTGTGCGAAACCAAACGGAGCCCACCCTCCTCAGACGCGAGTGAACATGCCTTACGGGACGGAGTTAGCAGCCCAGTAGCAAGTCGTGTAGGTAACAGAAATATAAATAAGAAAGAATGTTTAACATAATATGCTAAAAATATTTTCATACTTAAATAACATACATAAAAGGTGTGCTTGCTGTATTTTATATTATCTTGCAAATCTTTTTTTTTTTTTTTTCCCCTTTGAAATGCTGAAAATCTTGCCATTGGAACTAGTCAACAATCACCTTAGTGTTAGAAATTACTACTTTTTTTTTTTATTTTTAGTACAAGATGTCACGTTCTGTTCACGCCCATCAAACTTTTGCGGACCAATCTCCCAGTCCAACTAAATATTTCCCCCTGAACTATCTGTTAGAAAAAAGACACTTGGAAAAAATACTTAAGTGCAAATTTATGTGTGTGTGAGAGAAACGATTACCTTCATCTCAGATGAAGATTTAAAGCACTTTGTAGTTCTCTATTGCCAACAGATTTAATGTTTTATGTGTTGCCAATTCTTGCAACTACTGCACGAGCGTGTGCCTGTGGTTGCAAATAAAAATGGAGAGTTCTGCGCGTGGTTGAAGGAGGTCCATTGTTTGTGCAGAGGGAGTTTCTGACGCCGCTCCCTCTTCTCCAGCCTCTCTGGAGAGTCGCAGTTTTTGTGCAGTTTTTGCTTCTCATCGTTGGTCGCCACGTTCCGTGTGGAAGTGTCCGTTTAGCTTTACAGTTCCTTTTGCTGAAAAATATGACATATGAGCCTTATTGACGATTTAAGTGCTTCTTGCAGCAGGTGGGTCAGAGACTGACTTCCAACAGAAGCCGAGGTGCGAGCGGTTCCTGCCCGGCCCCGCACTGGCCCTGCCTTCGGCCTCCCCCTCTCTCAAGTGCTGCTGGGGGGCTGGGGAGGAACCCGCTGTGTTAAACACAGGCATCTCGCTTAGTTCCTGCTCTTCTAAGTGCAAAAGAAAGCTCACAGAAAGGAGGAATGAGCTTTCCCTCTATTTTTCTTTCTTTTTTTTGTTTTTGTTTTTCCCCAAAAGCTTTAAAGGAAAACTTTGTAAGGATGACAATTACCTATTCGCCAGCAGAGTGAAAGTCTCATTAAAACCCTTAAGGAATCACCCTGATGAATAAGCCTTTTGAAGGAAAAAGATGGCTTTTTCCCATCTGCCACGGGCCGGGTTTGGGGGACGATGGGGAGACACGTTCCTGGTGCAGCCCAGGCCCCGGGCGGCCACTTCCCGCCTTCCGCAGTTTTGGCAACAAATCTGGCCAACAAAACAGGTTTTTTTGGCTCTGCTCCTTGTGCAAGAAAAAACTCCAGGCTGGGTAAGTTCGTTCAACAGCTCAACAGTCGTAAAACATCATTGTTGCATGTAAATTCCTTTCGACTATAAAAAATAAATAAATAATGAAATTCCAGTTTCTATTTACCTATCCATTGTGACAGTATTATTAAACAGGTAAAGATGGGACTATTTTGTTATACTGTGTATAGTGAATGTATTGTACTGTGTCTGTGAAAAGTGTGCTTTAAATTATATTTTCATATGTTTTGTTGGGGACAAAGTACTTTAAGTTTGGAAGTGACAGAGGTTTGTTTTAGAACTGAAGGCAACTTAAAGAATTCCTGTCAAGAAAGCTGCTTATAAATGTAAATCAAATCACATTTAAAATAAACTGCCTCTGACCTAAAAAGACTTGCCTTTCACTTGTTACTGACCTGAGGAGTTGAGTTCCTGGGCTGTAGATGGGCTTTGCTTTGTGTATTTTACTTTGGTATCATCCAACTGTATTCAATAAACACCTGAAGCAATCAAGGATGACACCATTAATGCACAAAATCACAGAATGCTACAGCCTGGGGAAAAAAAGAGGGGGGAAAAAAAGGAGTATTTTGATATGATCAGTCCAAAGGCCTTCAGATTTTCGAAACAGGAAAAAAGGACCACCGACTCCAGGAATAATTCTGCTTTTAATGTAACAGGACTACTGTACAACAAGTGGAAAGCAAATTTACTTAATACAGTTAAAGTAAATATAAAATGTTTAGATATACACACATGTTTTTACTTACTGGAAAGAAATACATAAAGTTAAAACGCAGAAGGTTTTAAAAGCCCTAAAGCCAAAAGGAACACAATTCACTGTTGAAGAAAATAGAACACTATCTCCTACTGAATGCGACTGCAACATAATGGCCATGGGGTTTTAAACGATTACTTTTAGGCATTTAAGCACAGCAGTGTCTTTCAACTCAAAAGTGCTGCCTTCAAGGATAATGTCCTTAATTTAGCATTATCCCTAAAGGCAAACATTCCGTGTGTTAAAGTGAATTATTTGCCATTACCTTTGTTGCAAGCATGTAATCTCACAGTACATGCAGCTACGCTTCAGAAATGTACTAGAAAACTATAGTTTTTTTTAGGGTAAGTAACGTCACTTTCCGATTTAACTGTTACTCAAAGAAAAACTACACAAATTTGCAGGAGGAACAGCCGTGTATCCCATTTGTAATCACACCTCAGTTACCAAGGCCGAGAGAAACCACAGGTTTTATGCAGCAGAAGAGCATGGTGAAGCTGGGCTCGTTCTTTCTGAGGCCAAAGTCATTCCCGTGTCCTTACGAATCCCACTACCAGGGAATAAATAGCTACTGACACAACAAGGGGGGGGGGGTCTTTTAGTACAGGGTGAGGCAGAGAGAGAAGACAACCCGATAGCAGCTCACAGCCACGACTCATCACGGCTCCCGTTAGAGTTAATTAGCTTTTAATCAGAGGTTTGCCCTGCTACGGAGAAGCGGCGCTGTTCTAGTTCCGGAGGTGGGACCGAGAGTGGTGGGTTTGAAGCTACGGGGCAAAACAAAGGATTTAATCGAAATTTAATACGTTCTGATCAAAGTGGGTCTGGACGTGCCTCTCGAAGCCCTGCTGGTCGTAGTCGGGCGGGAACTGCTCGCTGCACATGGGACACACCTTCCAGTGGCTCTCCACGTGTTCCTCAAACTTGCTCTGGTCGTAGTTGGGTGGAAACATCACGTCACAGAGAGGGCACTTCTTGTGCACGTCGAAACTGCACCAGGAGGTGGAGGGGAAGGAAAGGAAAGAGTTATTGAATCTGTTACTGAGTTATTCGATCTGTTATTGCCAAAGACAATTTACAAGCAGGATCCTGTTCCCACCCATGCGAGGAGCTTGACTCCAGACTCAAATCTGAGCAGATTTTGTATCTAAGCGCGTAGCGTACGTTGAATTTAAATGTCTCTGCTGAAAGTGCTCAATACAGTTAAAGTCGTTTCACAGAGGAATTCCAAAATAACCTGGCATTTTAAAAGCTACATAATTTTGACATAATTCCAGCTACCACTGAATACAAATCTATTGAATGTCTTAATGGCCGAGCAGTTTCATGGGAAACCACTCTCCCTACTCATAAATGCTCGCTCTGAGCAAACATCACACTTTATAAAAGCTCTAAACTTGGTTCACAATTAGGTTGGGGGGGGAACCAAAAGTTACTCATTCATTTACTGAAGAAATTGTTCCCGTTCCGTCAAAATATGGTGTAAGACAAATAACCTTCCCTCTCACAGCGTATTCTCTGACAGTTAATTGTAAACCAAACATTCATTGCAAACGCTCAATAGTTTTTCATCTCCACCCCCCACCCCGGAGTAAAGAACTCTGCAGTTCTTCAGAAGTCATCCACACCATTAAAGACCAGTAAAAGATAACATTTACCTGGAATCAAAGCAGAAACCTGTCCCACGTTGATGCAAGAGAAGACTTGGAGGATCAGGAGCAGAAGGTACGGTGTTGTCATCAGCCTATTTAAGGAAAAAAAATAAAAAATTAAATGATATCCACTAGAAAGAGCTTTTTTCTTTCCCCTCCAAATCATTTTTTGTTACGGAGCATAAACATGGATGAAATTTACCAATCAATACCATCATTTACCATCAATATATTAAAGGTTATTAATTATAGCATAAGGGCATTACCCAAAATTATGTGGGAAACATGACAGAGCTGGGTCTCTTTCCCCATTCAAAATTATTAACACATTGGACAAAACCCAGCTTTATAAAGGGTCTTCACCCAGACCCAAGAGAAACCACTCGATGCCCAGCCCTCACAGAACTCAGCGCTCCTGGAGTTACCCATCTGCCATGAAAATGTTGGAATCCTACAGAAATGTTAGTCCCTTATCAGCAAAGGAAACCTCTGGGTCTTTTTGCAGGTTCTACACCAAGGTTAAAATGTACTGAGTGGCAAAGTGTGTTGGTAACACGTTATTCAAGTAGAAGTGCTGTTACCACCGCCCTCCCCCGGGGAGTGTCAGCAGAAGCAACTGCTTGGGCATCAGCCTCCCCACGTGCAGATTTCTGCTCTGCCACCACAGGCCAGGGGGAAACTAAAAATCTTAATTAAAATCAAAAATTCAACTTATACGAAGGTTTGCCATTTAAAAAAAATTGCCATTAAGAAAAACGTTTAATAGGTTGGGTGCCTTTTTTAATTGGTTTTGGGTGGGTTTTTCACATTATTTACTCTAGTTATTAGTTATTTGTTCAGTATTTTGCCCCCCTCTTGCATCTCCTTTTCCTTTTTTTTTTTGTCCTTCCTCTCAGGTTCTGGCAAGTTGTGCCACCCTGCCATGTCCAAATGCAACACCCTTCCTCCCTCCTTTTTGACAAACTGATCTGAGCAGGCTGCTTCC